TTTATGAGAGTATTTTGAGATCCTTTTATCTGAACAAGTTTTGAAATATCATTATGATAATGCGTTCCACAGCTTCTATAAACGTACATGTAAAAGAGGTCACAGAGAATGACTACAAAGACATATTACGTATTGGGATGTAATATTATAATCTCTGTATTGGATAGGTTAGACTCTATGTACTATCTATCTTCTACCGCCCAATAGCTTATAATTTCCAAATTGATAGCAATAATTATTTATAATACATTAAATGCAACAGCTTCAAATAAAATTACCTTTGAAAAATAAAAAAAAAAACTATCTGATCATTTACTGTAGCAACGAGGTTTACTGTTGTGAAAATGTTAACGTTTGGTTCGTAAACATAATTTCCGTAAAACTTATTTATTTGCGTTTATCTTCAACGCAAATGTTTGATAGAGTTATACACATTAAAATATAGTGCATGGTCCACAAATGTTATATTTATGCAATTGTACCTGGTATTTAATTTATTTATTTTTTTTACTCTTTTAAAAAAAATGGCGATCTAGAATGAGATTTTTGTGTAATACAATTTAATGTTGTGTGGTGATTTCGAGTGTACATAATCTTAAGAATCAAACTTGATTTAATTCATGATTGTTTGCTTGTTTTATATTTTAAATTGAAATGTGCTTTGTTCAAGTAATCATTAGATTATACAAGCGATGGGTTAGAATAAATGTTTGTGGGTTTTTTTAGGTCACCTGAGTCACTCAGGTGACCTATTGCTATCCGTTTTTGTCCGTCGTCGTGCGTCGTCCGTCGTCCATCGTGCGTCGTGCGTTAACATTTAAACATTTTCAGCTTCTTCTCTGAAACCGCTCAACCAATTTCAACCAATTTTGGCATATAGCATCTGTTGGTGAAGGGGGACAAAAATTGTGAATTTCATGGTCCCTGCCCCCCTGGGGCCTGAGGGGTGGGGCTAAAACCACCAAAATTAATGCAATCTTTAAAAATCTTCTTCTTTACTCCTGGACATCAAGCAGTCAAACTGTTGACATGATTGTAATAAGCATTGAGCCCTCTACCTAAATTGTGAAATTCATGGCCCCGGGGTCAGGGGTTCTGGTGCTAGGGCGGGGCTATATAGATCATATAGTGAAAGTGCATTATTTCTTTGAAAATCTTCTTCTCTACTCCTGGGTATTATTGAAACAAATTGAATACATAGTTATGATAAGCAAGAGTGACTCTACCAAAATTGTGAAATTCATAGCCCCAGGGTCAGGGGTTCTGGTGCTAGGGCGGGGCTATATAGATCATATAGTGAAAGTGCATTATTTCTTTGAAAATCTTCTTCTCTACTCCTGGGTATTATTGAAACAAATTGAATACATAGCTATGATAAGCAAGGGTGACTCTACCAAAGTTGTGAAATTCATGGCCCCAGGGTCAGGGGTTCTGGTGCTAGGGTGGGGCTATATAGATCATATAGTAAAAGTGCATTATTTCTTTGAAAATCTTCTTCTCTACTCCTGGGTACTATTGAAACAAATTAAATACATAGTTATGATAAGCAAGAGTGACTCAACCAAAATTGTGAAATTCATAGCCCCAGGGTCAGGGGTTCTGGTGCTAGGGCGGGGCTATATAGATCATATAGTGAAAGTGCATTATTTCTTTGAAAATCTTCTTCTCTACTCCTGGGTATTATTGAAACAAATTAAATACATAGTTATGATAAGCAAGGATGCCTCTTCCAAAATTGTGAATTTCATAGCCCCTGGATCAGGGGTTCTGGTGTTAGGGTGGGGCTCTATTTATTATATAGTGAAAATGCATTAATGCTTTAAAAACCTTCTTCTCTGCTCCTTGGTATTATTTAAACAAATTAAGTACATTGTTATGATAAGCAAGGATGCCTCTTCCAAAATTGTGAAATTCATGGCCCCAGGGACAGGGGTTCTGGTGCTAGGGTGGGGCCATATAGATCCTATAGTGAAGGTGAATTATTTCTTTAAAACTCTTCTTCTCTGCCCCTGGGTATTATTTAAACAAACTAAGTACATTGTTACGATATGCAAGGATGCCTGGTCTTCCAAACTTTTGAATTTCATGGCCCCAGGGTCAAGGGTTCTGGTGAAAAGGGGGGGGGGGGCTCTATTGATTATATAGTGAAAAAGCAATTTTTTTCTGAAACATTCTTTTCTGCTTCTGGTTAAAAAGCAAAGAAGCTAGTGTATAGTTATGATGAGCAAGAGTGCTTCTTCCAGAGTAGTGAATTGCATGACCCCTGGGTCAGATGTGCTGGTTCAAGGGTGGGGCTCTTGATAATATAGTGGAAATGCATTATTTCTATAGAATAATCCTGTCTGCTCCTCAGTGTTAAGCAGATAAACAAAGTGATTACTTATGATGTGCAAACTTCTGGTCCCAGGGTGAGAGGCTCTGATGTTTCTCGATGGAAGGGGGGGGGGGGTTCTATTGATAATATAGTGAATCTGTAGTAAAAATGCATTATTTCTTTAAAAATCTTCTCTGCACCTGGGCATATCAGAGGCAAAAAGAGTAAAAGTTTTAATAAGGAAGGGTATTTTTACCAGATATTTGAACATCTGGACCATTTAGTCAAGTGTTCTGGTCCTAGCTAGGGCACTATTAATTTGTAATCTACTGAGAGGAGTTATTCCCCTTTGCCATTTACTTTTGATAATTAATCACTGTAAATAATGTACTTGAAAGGTTAATAGAATAAGAGAATTATGCAAGAATTTTTATTGTATAATACAAAAAGTACTTTCATAGTTTTAATGATCAGGTAGACTTGTAAGTAATAGATCAATAAAAATGAGACAAAAATAACTTGTCTTATTAAATGTTCATGAAAGATCAAGAGAGGCAAATGTAAGAGATTTCAACAAGGCATTAAGATGGTACAGAAGCAGTGATATTTTGTTAATTTACTGTATGGTGAAAGTGTTAAATGAGGAACAGATTAGAACCTAATTTATGAACTGTGAATGAGTGCTAAACTAATTATTTTTTTGATCCTGATCACTCTATTTTTCTTGCTTTTGGGCAACAAAGCTTCACCTTTCAGTTCATTTTATACTCTATGGATCCTCTAAATTGTTGCATTATACTCAGGTGACCGTTAAGGCCCTTGGGCCTCTTGTTTAATATAACTGTCTTTTTTAATGAATGGATATATTTTTGATTTTATCATAATATTTTGTATAAAGTATTGTATATAATAAAGAATCACAATTTAATGCCTAGAACTTTAATAGAATATAAAGGAATATAAAATCACATGTATACACTTACTGTTTGTTTGTTGGTTACGCCACAAAAGATGACAATGTGGGCTGCTATAGTTCCAGAGTTCTAATCAGGTGTCCAGGCTGCGTAAGCATCCACTGTCGACTGGTTACACCCGCCATGAGCCCTATGTACTGTATTGATCAGGTAGATTGAAAACTCCGTAGTCAAATTAAGTATAAAAACAAAGGCCTAACAATTAGTATGAAACAGATCAGCCAAAATACGATCTACTGATAGGATGTAATTGCTAAAAAGGACATTATAACAACTATAGAATTTACAAAATGCTTATCTTAAACGAGGTTATTGAAATCCCTGTAACATCAATTTATCTGCCAGTAGCCTGTCTGGATTCACCTTTGCTAGCCATGAGTTTCTGATCCGCCACTCTCCTCATGAATCTTTGGCCTACGGTGCTTTCAAATTTCGGAATTGTTTAGAAAATGAAAGTATTTACAGAATAATTAACAAACAGGTACCGAACGATGTGTATTTGCTAAGCATGGTGCAAATTCATATCCGCAATATAGATTCCTTATGACATATATGTATATCTCGGCCAAATACTGTGGAATTATTAAAATTCCTGGGGGCAATTTCCGTGGATTGCTTCAATTTTGCAAGTTCGATTGGGCGTAATTTCGTGCATTCACTCCTATTTACAAAAGGAAATATGACAGTAAAAATCTCATTTATTAATTCATTGAGGGTGTGAAATCGTGGATGTAGCGTCTGGATAATACCACCAATATTGACCCACCACGAAATCTAACGATTTTACAGTATTGCAAGCAAGGACCTAGCTGGAAAATAAGAAAACTAGCCAAAACTAAAATTGAATACAGGGTTAAAACGAGCATAAAATCTCAACAAAAATTACAGCTGATGGGCGCAGTTGTGTATATAGTCAATCGATATTGTTCGACCAATCAGCGAATTTTTTTTTTTTTCTAAATGACGATACCTCCGTTCGTGATATATCTTGAATCCTTAGTCTCGAACAAATACAAGTAAATACAAGTAACCATTCTATAAATATAAGCTCATTCTATCAAAAGCTATGGTGTCATCCAACTAAGTAAACAACATTCTATAAATATAAGATCATTCTATCAATAGCTATGGTGTCATCCAACTTTAAGCAGATATGCACAGTAGATAAACCCGCAGTCCCCTTGACGAGGTGTTGTTGGTTGACGATGTACCGTAAATAAATATTTGAAACAGGTATATATCCACCCAGCAGATATTTCTCCTCTGTGACGATTTTCGAGAAATTAACTATGATTTTATGCCCAAAAATATAGCTATTATAAATACTCCCTAGCCATTGGCATCAATCATATTTGGGTTCTTTCCCATATAAAAAGGATTCGCGTATTATCTTAAGTTCTTTTAGTAAATTTGAAAAATATTGAAAACAAGGAAAAAACGGGTACGGCATTTACAAAAACATGTATAAAGATAATTCAAGTATAACTGCATCTAATATTTCGAGTTACGAATTCAAGTTCTAGAAAGAACATATTAAAATTATTTTTTGAACACAGACAGGAAAGGAGATGAGATATTTGTTTTTTTCTTTAAAAATGTTAGAAAAATCCAAGTGAATATATGCATGTTAATCATGATTTATCAATAACAAAAAAAAAAAAAAAAAAAAAAAAAAAAAAAGTGAAATGTACTATTTTACCAAAGTCAGCGAATTCAGATATATTACACAGAGTATATTTTTAAGGACAACAATCTTAATACATGTACAATAACAAATGATCTAGCAATGCATAATATTCGAAGTTATAGAACATATTGAATGGCTTGTTTCAATAGAATGAACACATACAATGATAAGATATTAAATTAACGTATAATGTTGGAGAATAAGGAACATTACAGACTAGATATATGTATTCAGATGTACATAAAAAAGTAATCTTTTGTGTGAATAATTCACACAGACACATAACAGTATAAGCATCTTGATAACAGTTTCATTTGAAACAGAAAAACAATCCTCTGAATATAAATTCACAATAAATAATTTCACAGTCCAGTTGTAAAACAAATTCATTTAAATTCATCAAATTCCACTATGTACTTGTTGATAAAGTCTTTAATGACTAAAAACTGTCCGATACTTTTCAATGACGCGAGTAATTAGAATAAACAATTGTTCGCAAAATTGCAGAAAGTATCATGATGAAAATTCCTATAACAACGGAAGTGACGACAAGACTACGTGCGCGTCTTGACTGCGCTTGCGCTTCCACCTCATCTCCCTCTACTGCTGCAGCGTTAGCCTGAATAACGTAAAGACATATATTAGAAAATCTATGACATTTTTATACATGTACGTTAATTTTATAAACTTCTAACCGTCAAAACCCTGGGTTGAGTTCCCTTTTTATCAGTTTATCGTTGATCAAGAAACGCAAATTCTAATTTATATAAGTTGCGATTTCCTGAGCCGCAGCTTAAGTCTTATGATGATTTTGTTGAATACAAAGTCGCCTTCAAAAATAAAATAAACTTCAAGTGAAAGACGAGGGGTCTACAAATGTACATGCACATATGACTAGTCCTGTCAATCTAGAGAAAATGTAAAACCGTCTCAAACTAATTTCGACAGATTGTTTTTTTTTACATTTGCAACATAAAAGAAGTAAAAAGTCTATGAAAATCTATTGAAAGGTATGCATTATTCCGGCATATTTGAATATAAAAACCTAAGGGAATTGCTATAGAAAAAAATGATAATTATAAAAAGTCATACAATGTTTTATTGAGGTAATCAGAAGAAAATTCCAATTTTTGTTATTGTGTAATGTGATTTAATTAATTTTAATATAGGTTTACAGATAATTATGTTACATCTGTAATATGAATTTGCAATGGATGCTTTGAATCTAACTTCATACTTTAATAAAAAGAAACACTGACGTTAAAAAGAAATCTGAATATTTCTTTTTGATCTCTGTGTTCACTATAAATTAAAATATGCTAACATAAACAAAAAAAGGAAAACAGTATAAAGCAGATGAAAAATTAAATAAAAGAACTTCTGTGTGATTTTCACGAGGCCAATTTTATGCTCTTACCGAACCTTTCTTCTAAACCTTACGAACGAAACCAAGCGAGAACAAGTAAGCTTAAATTATTATACACGTTTTACTCTTCTGTAAAAGGAATGCTCAAAGTAATGAAGGAGAGTCAGTTAAAATTACTGACTGCACAGGAACGAGAAAGCATTTTACCAAACCCTGGTATACATTGTTGATAAGTCAACGCATTGCACGTATTATTTTTTGTCAAAATACTACATGTATTAAAGTGAAGGGTGTATCCATTCCAATACAGTTAATAATAAAAAAAAATGCACTTTTATCCTTTGGAATGCAACCATTAGTTTTATTCTAATACTAATACGTAGATATGCTATACATTACTGTGAAAAACGTCACACAATTCATGCATATATATATATAGTATCGTTTACAGTGTAGTCAAATTCTGTATATGTAAATGTTTAAAAAAAAAAAAAAACTTTCGTCGAGAAAGTTGGATTTTTTTTTTTTTTTTTTTTTTTTTTTTTTTTTTTTTTTTTTTGCTTCACAAATATTTTTTATGTATGTAGTCAGTTATTACCCTCCCTCATGTCCATTACTACATTAATGTATTAAATGCGCTCTGTACTTTAAAGAGAAAAAATCCAAAAAAAAAAATGACTCGTCTTAAAAATATAGAATAAAATTATGTATAATTTTTATCTGTCGATTCTTCAAATACATTAAAAAGTCCCGCACGACCCATGAAATATTAAACCAAATTGTAAACAGCAAATATATATATATTGTAGAATGAATAGCTACAGAATGTACACTTGATAATTTATTTTTTAATTGTGTTGTAGTTTTGGCAAGTTAACTGATAGAGAGAATTTAAATAAAAACAACAACAATAATGTGAACCCAGAGTTGCTTCGAAGATTGATGTAACTTTATAGTGCTAGATCGCTATACGAATATATAAAACTTGAAGGTCGTTTATCTTCATTCTGTTTCATTTGGTTTCAATTTTGGTTTCGTTTCATTTCATTTGGTTTCGTCTCGTTTTATTTCGTTAGGTTTCGAATTAAACTCGTTTCATTTTGTTTCGATTTCGTTTTTCACTTTGCAGGTACCCGCCAAAGAAACTCCGGTTAACTACATTGATATTGTACAATTACACAAATATCTCCTAGGTTTTCATTGACTGATAATCTTTCAATTATATAAAAACGGTACTTCCTACATAAGTACTTAAAACACTAAACATCACAGTATATTATCAATTACCTTACAAGCAGCAAATATTGCAAAAATTCCTGTTGGCCAAAAACAGCACAAACAAGAGAGAATAGCCGGCACTGTCCAGTCCTGTCTGACTGGCCGTGATGTCACAATGGTAGCAGAACAAGGCTGATTGACCTGATAAGGAATCAAAGATGCAGGTAAAGATACTGGCATATCATCATACAGTGTAGTTCTGATATTTTTTTAAATAAAAATAACGTCTTACCACAACATTGTGAGTTAATCCTTGTGGCGCACCCGGCACGTGTTGATATGGATACGGACCAGCAGAATTACCCTTTGGTGGATATTGGTAGCCAGGATACTGTCCCTGAACGCCACCTTGTGGCTGAAAGTGGTTATACTGGTTCTCTTGTGAAAACAAAGGCTGGGAACTAGGACTGGTTACTTCGTCGTACGAAGGGGGAGCTAATAACGAAAAAATATAATTTTTATCGATGTTGCAAAATTACTATAAAACTCTTATAGTCCTCCAACAAGAGTCCCATAGGTTTAGAAACTTTAACGTTCATCTTTAAATAACAGAAGAGACAAAAAAAATAGAAGCATGAATAGGTTCACCAGTTGGCAGAGTTCGTTGTTCCTGTATAACTCATAATAAGCATAAAAGGAATCTTACTCATTAACTATACCAGATTAAAAAAATCAAATAAAGCTATTAATTTGGCCTACTTTTGGGTTATACTAAAACTTATTCCAAGTTACCTCAACTTACAAGTCTTGGTAAACGCAGGTACTTGCAATTCCTGACTTTTGATTTAATGTGGTCACAAATTGAACTGGGATCATACTATTTTTTCAGCTGTCAGTCTTTCATATTTGAAGATGTATCAAAGAACAATTTTAGGGGATTTTAGGGCTCATATTATCTGCAGTGCTTGGTAACAAAAAATTGAGAGTGTGCGTCTTACAGTCACAAAATCCAAAAGAAGGTCACTTAGTTATTTTTTTTTCTTTGATTTCAAAAAATAAATCAACTTACAAGGCTGGGAATTTTAAGCAGAATAGTTTGCAATAGATATAGAGCTCTAAACGTATACAAGAAATTCATAAATTACCGGTAGGTGACCGTAATCTACTTTTGGGTTGACATAGCGCTGGATAACAAATGAACGAACTTTCAGGGTTTGATGAACACCCTGATGAACCTAAAGCCGAATTGAAGTTAAGATGTTCAGCAGAAAACTTTTGACAATTAAGAAAAATAAAGAAAGTGAAAGTATTTCATCGTTACGAACTTTAAGTAGATACTTGACAAGGACTTACGATGCATCAAATAAGGTTAAATGACCCAAGATATCAATTTATTTTAAAATGATGTACAACTATGAGAGGAATTCCTGATCAATTAAATACATGTTTTTGCCTATTTTTATCTTGTCACAACCTAATTCCATTTACTGACACAGTTTGTTAAACCTAGGTTTCAAAGTGTCTGAGACAAGTTTCTAAAACGAAGCCATAAAATTCCAGCAGTGATCACTGTATTATATTTTTCGGCTGACACACCCAAGAGTCGGCATACAAGGATCACTAGGCAAGGATTGATTTTAAAAAAAGGCATAATTCATGTGAATCATATCCTTGATATACAATTGTCAGTAAATCATTGAACAAGTGACTGTTTAGAGAAAAACTTACGTCCATGTCATCAGCCTTTGGATTCCTTTTCTAAATGCATATCAATAGGCCTCAACAGAAACTCTCTTTTTTTATTTTGATGATACTAGAGTACTAGAATTTCTGCTGTCCACAATAAATTACAGAAAAAATTGACGATGGATGGCCATTATTTAGAAAATAAATAAAGGCACTATAATATTAATGGGTTTTTTTTCAAAATTAAATGTGTTCATCTAAGTGTTTACAAGGGTACACGAACAGGATCTATCATTACTGTGATATTTAATTCATTTTTTTGCTGCAGAAAAGATATGTTTGTTAAAGTTATGCATGATTTCTTCTCAAAAATTGTATTTTAACATTTGATATTCGAAATCCTATTATCCCAATGCAATGGCAATCAAAAATGTGTGACTGTTTCTATATTCGAATAAACAATCAAATTGTCGTGTACTCATTATATAAATTTCTAATTCAATAATTAGTAATCGACATTTGTAGTGATGAAAAAGTACAAGATTTTAAATGTTCACATTCATTTTAATTACTGTTTTGTTACTTAGTTATTCTTGCTGCGGTTTGTTATAATTTTTATGAAAGCTTTCTAATCCTTAATTTGTTTAGCAAAATATCTAACATTCCACGAGAACCATTTTGAATTCATCAAATTATCAATTGGCGTTAAACAGAGGTAATCCCATTAGGTAATTTTCGCACCTTGACCACGACAAGGATTTACGGGTGATTTTTATAACAATGCTGTTTATCTGACATGTTAATTCAATTGTTCATCTATAGAATGTCACCCTTTTATTGTTCTGTACTCATATGAATTTCTTATTCAATAATTAGTAAACGACATTATTGTAGGTTGGAACGATAATTTCAAATAAGCTCGATCTATCGATCCATCTCGAAGATGACCTCGACAATATTTCATTCATCAGTATAGTATGGGGTTAATCAATATTCCCAGAACATTCTACAATACTCTAGTTATCATGGCAGAAAATGTGTTATAAATAAGACATGGCTTGTTGCAATGCACTTGTGAAGTCTTAAGATAAATGCCAACGGAAAATAAAGTGAAATTTTGCAGTCATGACAATAATTTTGCATGCCGAAAACCATTTTTTTAATGTTCAGTGAATTACAGGGTTCATTGAAACCACGTGTGTATAATTATAATACTCAGGTTTTGTTTACATCTTAGATTTTGATACAGACAAAAAGTTATACAAGGAACAATAGAATACAGAGAGTTAAATTCCCAAAAATATACAATATTAAAAAATAATATGTGCATACTTACGCCCTCTTTTATCCTCCGAAGACATATTGGAATTGTTCAATACGCAATAACCATCACCAGCGTACGGAAGTATTGAATGATCAGCCGAAACTGCGCACGCAATATTGAATTCCTGCTGTGGAGGAAGCAATCTAATTAAGACTTCTTAGATCCGCGCCATATACATTTTCAGAATGTGGGAAATAAGCTATAAACAAACTATCGTCTGAAAATTTTAATATAAAAAAATTCTCTCTCTTTCTCTCTTTCACTGCAACTGTACTTCTCCGTTACGTGGTGAAGGAAAGTTTTTGTCAGTTATGTTTTGAAAAAATAATGGTGAAATTATTCTCAATAGAAGTAAATCATTTATACACTTCAATCTTTTATTTATGTTTCCAATCGGGCAAATTAAAAGGATGGGGTTTGAAATTGGAGGGGGTTCCGGGATAGGACGCAAACTTTTAAAGAGTTTAAATATATCATGAATTCAATAAAACGCATATACAAACTCATGAAATACAATAATCCTGCTAGGAGTACATATAAATTTATTATAAACAAGATTTTCAACGGCATCTGACAAGTCACAGAATTAAAGAGGAGGCGCAAACTTTGCCACATGTATCAACCGCAACTGTTCATGTACATGAGCTGGAAAATCTACAACGCACAGAATTTAGAACAGGAAAGTGATTTTCTTCTGGTTATCTTGTATTTAACGGAAGTGATTTTTTTCCTTGTGAACATACGTTTTAAAAACTGTACTAGCTTTCGTTTTATATCTGATAATTTTGATGAAATGGTGATAAACTGTTTAAAATACAAGTGTGACAAGGAATTCATTCAAATGATTTGATTTATTAGAATTCCTTTCAGGTCTGTTTATTAATAAGTTTTAACCTCTGAACCAATCTCAAATCCATAGTCTTCATGTCAAAATCACTAGTCTTCATCTCAAAATTAAATCGAGAAATTTTGTAATGCATCAATTAGATATAGCTTTAAAGGAAAATTGAAATCAAATTTAAAAATTAGTTCTTTTTTTTTTTTTTTTTTTTTTTTTTTTTTTTTTTTTTGTCTTAGCAGAAATAATCATGAATTATTGACCATTGAATTGTTAATCCATTCTTTTCTTTCATTATAAAATGTACTTAAAAATTAATATTACAAAGATGCTTGAGTTCCTCATTGACAATATCTATGAAGACCAGATCTTCCCACAATCTGTTGGAATTTCGATTGGCACTCAGTGTACCCCTTTATTAGTCGACCTGTTTTATATTTCTATGAACATAATCTACATGTATGCAAAAACTACTACATAAAAAAGGAAAACTTTTTCAATGACCTTCAGTTCGATATTAGATATAACGACAACGTTTTATAATTTTATTTTATTTTATTTTATTTTATGCTCTGAGTTCGATCAAGTTATAAAAAAGGAGGCAAGCCTCTGACGAATAAGTAGATTTTAAAATGATTTCAACAACCCCCTATAATGTCAGCCTACTGTTGGGTCTTATTTTGTCTTATGTTTGAAACCAGTTTTATGGCATTGCTTTTATACTGAATTTGAACTACAGAGTACTCTCTATACCTGGTAACACAGTGTTCACGACGGGTGTAATTACGATTCACGATTTACCGTAACATTTTATATCCCACTAGTTTCCAATTGTGCAAAATAAGCTTTTTCAAATTGTTTGAGGGGAGTTTGAACAATGAACTCATCTCTAATTGCGTCCTCAGGTATACGTGTCAACAGGATCCATCCTCAACATAAACATATCCTGGTCCATACGACTTCTACATTTAAATGTTTTCCTAACAATACTGAGATTTTTCCTTATGATAGAATTCTTTCTCTTCCTTCTCACTGAACTTATATTTGACCTATAAAGTTTCAGTTTATTTTAATTAGATGAAACCTTAGACTCCCAGACCATAAACTGAGAATTCTTTTGTCATCTTGGTATATGCAACTAGAATCAAAGAATGAAGTATGGTTTCTAATAAAAATGATTTTCTACTTCAGCAAATGTGTGTAAATATTAAGCTCTGTAATACATGAAATTTATTGGGAAGTAACCACACCGCATTTTAAATCCACACTTCACACAGACATTTAAATGCATTACATATATGGTTGTATTCTGTAAGTCATAAGGTTTCAGATTTTCTATAACTCTTAAGAAAACTCTTACCACGTCTTTGTTTTGACAAATTCCTTGTCAGACTCACAGATATATACCTTTAAGTATTTCGTGTAATATTTGAAACTTTCATCTTATTAAGAATAAAATTGTTACATAAAAGATAATTCGCGGTGTTATTTAAATAATGAATAAAGGCACAATTCTATCTCTCTGATCAAAAGATTTTTATGCACTAGTCATTCATTTCCTCAGAAGTTTGTAAATATTAAAGAATAAGTAACAAAAAAATGTTTATTTCTTATTTACATAACTGAGCCATTGTTGTCCCATCCAAATCAGATAGACTTGTTTTTATGATTTTTATTATAAAACTACATGTATGTTGTTGTCCGGTGAAAAAAAACTTACGAAAGTGATTAACATTGTAAGAGTAATTTCTCTTTTTATGTTGTAAAGTATTTTTCAATTCAAGATACTTACAGTGAAAATAATTGTATATCTATCAGTAATATTCTTTTGTTGTATTGTAATGTGATCATGTTAGCTTCAGAACAATATGACATTCATAAGAATGCTGCATGACATATATATAGAAAAAGCTGTAGTTCCTTCTTCTCATTTACGCAGCGAAACCAGATATTGTAAATATCTGTTGAGAAGAAAATGGTGAAAAAACATTGAAATTTAAAAAAAAAAATTGCTTCATATATAAAAAATTTGATTTTTAAAACATTTTTAAGTATACATTTTCCCTGACATTTTCATAGCTTCTTTCTTAATAGCTTCTGTTAACTATTATATTTTCTTTGTCGCTTATTGAGTTCCAGGGAAGAAATAACATTTAGTTCGGAAAAAACCTAATGCATGATAAGATGGAATTACATACTTTTTATATTCTACATATTATACAGTTATTGACTGGGCATGAGGGCACAATATGATTTGTTGGACCTGAAGGTGATAATGTTGCCTGAGGCCTCAGGCTAAGGGCAACATTTTCACCTTCAGGTCCAACAAATCATATGTTGCCCGAATCCAAGTCTATAACTGTTTTGTTGTACACTTCACTTAACGAGGTTCGCTCCTGAGCTTTTGAGCAGATTCTTATCTTAACCTATATTTCAAAAATTCTGCATAATGTTTTAATTCTTACAATAAATTTGGATTCTACAATGCCAATTTAACTATATTCAGTTAAAACTCCATGATTAAATTCCATACCAAAAGCATTAAGTGAGGAACTATATTTTGTGGCGGAAGGTTTTTTAGAAGAAAATGATCATTTTTTCTCTTTTGAAGTATTTAAAGTATGTTAAGTTTGGATTCCTATTTTTACATGCAGGCTGCACACATAGTTATTTTGTGCAGTGGACTGTTTTATACTGGTACTAAATTATCTATTAAATAAACTGTCATGAATTCTATCATCATATTTGATAAATATAGCAAATATATTGTGGAAACGAAGAAAAAAATAGCCCTAATTTAAGCTTAAAATTAGCACTATTTTAGTAATATCTAAAAATTAACATCACAGACCCCCACTTTTAATTTTCTTTTCTGAATATATACGATACTTTTAACCATTCTTCTTAAATTCAGTAAAATGTCATTACTTTCAAATGATTTTTTTTGCTTGTTAAATTTTAATGCCAGAAAAATGAGAATGTTTGAGTGCAAAAAGGTCAAATAATTGAACATGCGGAGTAATTCGAAAATTTCTTCGTTGTTACAAATTTTAATGTGTCTATTTAAGATGAAATAAGATTGTGTTTGTTCACCATAATTTATTTGAACAAAAAATATTGAAGGAAAAACTTTAAAAATTGATTTATGTGTAAGACGTATTTACAGTGCAAAAAGGTCAAACTAAATGCTCTGTAGCGCCAAAAGAAGCGCATTGACCCCCATTTTTTGTTTTGATTTTTAATAAAGCTATGTGTATAAATTCTAAAAATATATTTGATAAAAAATTCTCATTACTTTTGATGGCAGGATCCAACCTCCTTAAGATAGAACACTAGAATTAACACCTTTAAACAGATTACTCATAAAATTAAATAATTTCTTTATTAGTAATATTTTGGCGTTTTAAATAAAAATGACAACAACAAAGAGTGAAAAAAAGTCATTAAAATATTATAACACAGAAATTACACAAAACATTTTTTCCCTCGACGCCATCTTTCAAATAGCATACGCAAAAACTCTTTAAACTTTGACTTTTTCCGTGTCGCCGATATTGAACGACGACTAATTGCTTGTGACGTAACAGTGACGTTTCGGTCTAACAATTCTTATGTTGGGCTGACAGACCGGTCAACAATGACATTGTTAGACTGATGAAGAAAACATTTACTTTGTTGGACTTTTTATTTGTAATAAATATATAGAAAACTAGAGCAGAGCTCGTTGCAAAGCAACGAATAGGTCTTCCGTTGGAGCTGCGAACAGGAAGAAGTGACCTTGAGTCAAGGTCATGCCACATTCTAAGGTTATAAGCAATCTTGTAAGGGGTATCAACTTGCAATGTCTCACCAGTAGAAAGACAGTTAAGGAATGTTGTTTCTCCGTTGATGACCTTGAACTCGTTCAAATGACCTTGCATCAAACCATGACACACTCTGGTTATAAGCAAACCCCATCTATGTGTTACCGACTCGACAAGTTAACACATGTTCTTTCAGACCATTCATCCAGTCAAAACATTCTTTCCTTAGTGACCCTAAATTTAATCAACATGGCCGTAGGAACCGAGGGAGGGCCCCCCAATAATTTTGCCGATATATAGATTACTATAGTAGACATAGATACTATAGCTTGTGCCACCTCAATAAAAACGTCTGATAATCTTCTTTTTTTTTTTTTGCTTGTCAAGGAATTTTTGGTAGTTGGTGACCTTTTTTTTGCTTATCAGGAAATTTATGGT